TATGACTTATTATGCTTAATATTATAAGTGTAACGACCCGATCGGTCGTTTTGAGCTCTAGCGCGTCATTCAGCGGTTTGAGACCCTGAGCAACTTCACTTCAAGTATTATGACTTATACGTGTGGTTGAAATTTAATTTCGGGAAGTTCGGAGTTGATTTGGAAAGCAAATTCTAATTTCGGAAGCCTTAAGTTGGAGGAATTGACTAAAGTGTGATTTTTTGAGTAAACAACCTCGGAATCGGGATTTGAAGGTTCCAACAGGTTAGTATGATGATTTTGGACTTGGGCGTATGTCCGCATCGGATTTTGGATGACCCGAGAGCGTTTCAATGCCTATTGTGAAAGTTGGCATTTTGGAAGAATTTCATAAAAATTGGGTTGAGGCATATTTCAATGTTATCGATGTCCGTTTGGAATTTCGATTCTTGGAATAACTTAGTATGGTGATTCTAGTATTGGGAGTGCGTCCGGAAGTGAATTTGGAGGTCCGTAGGTCATTTCGGGGTCATTTGGCGAAAGTTAGAAATTTGAAGATTTTTGAAAAGTTTGACCGGGAGTGGACTTTGTGATATCGGGGGCAAATTCCGATTCCGAAAGTTGGAGTAGGTCCGTAATGTCGAATGTGACTTGTGTGCAAAATTTGAGGTCAATCGGACGTGATTTGAAAGGTTTTGGCATCAAATGTAGAAGTTTGAAGTTCTAAAGTTCATTAAGCTTGAATTGGGGTATGATTCATGATTTCGCTGTTATTTGGCGTGATTTTAGGGCTCGAGGGAGTCCGTTTTATGATTCCAAACTTGTTGGTATGTTCGGACGGGGCCCCGGGGGCCCCAAGTGACAATCGGACGAGGCTCGGACCAAGTTAGAAATTGGGAGAACCAGATGTAGTTCCCAGTTGCTGTCATAATCGCACATGCGCTTGGCCAGCCGTAGGTGCGAGCCACGATCCACAGAAGCGAAAGAGTGAGGGCAGCCCAGCCGCCGCACGTGCGGAAGTTTTGGCGCACCTGCATGATCGCAGGTGTGAGAGCAGTAGTCGCAGGAGCGGATGGGCTCGCAGAAGCGGTCCCTTTTGTCCGCAGATGTAGAGCTTGGCCAGGTAATGGAAATGCGCACTTGCGAGGATTTTTTCGCAGGTGCGGGACCGCAGATGCGACCAAGGCACCGCATGTGCGAAAAATCGCTGGGCAGAATCGTTTTAAGAGCGGGATTTAGCCCTTCTTTTATCATTTTCACTTGGTTGGGGCGATTTTGGAGAGCTTCAAGGAGGAATTTTCATCATCTATGTCAAGATAAGTGATTCTTGCGTATTGTGAGTTAAATACAAGATTTATACATGGATTCAAGCATGAAAATTGGTAGAAATTTGGAATTTTGAAGAAAAACCTAGAAATTGGTATTCTTGGATTTTGATCACGAATTTAGACTTGAAATTGAGAATAAATTATATATTTGAGTTCGTAGTGCTATGGGTAGTGTTTGTCTTCGAAAATTTTCGGAATTCGGGCACGTGGGCCCGAGGGTTTGCTTTATCAATTTTTCGAGTGGAGTTGGAAATTATTATAAATTGATTAATTATGAGTATTAGAGTATATTTTGATTGGGTTGCATCTTATTTGACTAGTTTTGGATCGACGCTCACCGTTTTGAGGTGTTAGGACGGTGTTGGAGCCGGTTTTGGAACGTCGGAGTGAGGTAAGTCTTCTGTCTAACTCTGTGAGGGGAAAATTATCCCTAGGTAGGGGCAAATTACCCCTAGGTATTGTATATTGATGTGTGCTACTTGTTGTGGGGGCTACGTACGCGCGAGGTGACGAGAGTCCGTACGTAACTACATTCATGTTATTGTCCGGGTAGGCTTAGGTTCACATCATGCTATAGCTGTACAATTTGAGCAGTCTCTCGCCTATTAAATTCCTCTGTTTTACATTACTACTTGAGACTAGACTTGCTATTGTAGAGGCTCCACGAGTTCATGATTAGTCACCGAATAATTTTACTCCTCTTACGACATGTTTTCGTGATATATATGTTTCATTGAAAAGTTTTTGTTAAAGAAATTACAACTCACACGTTTATTCGTGAGTGGGGTCAACGACCCGTCAAAGCTCCTTATTCCAATGGGATCGGGCCGTTCGCCTCGACAGAATTTTGTACTTCTTATTCTAATGGGATCGGGCCGTTCGCCTCGCCAGGAGTTATGTACGACACTCTCATGGGAGCGGGCTGTTCGCCTCGGCAGTTTGATAGATGCATCTATGGTTCGTGTCGTTAGACCCTCGGCAGTCCACAGTTTAAATATTTATGTTGGATCGGGCCGTACACCTCGGTATTTCCTATATCATATCCTCATGGAATCGTGCGTAATATTTGGCAAGAAGCTAATGTATTTGTGAGTTTTTTCGATTTGAGTTATGAAAATCTATCTGATGAGATCCACTATATCTATATATATGCTCCGGTTAAGGAGGAAATTTCTAATAAAGAGCTTGAGTTCCTTGTAAAGAGGGAGATTTGTACCATGTGATTTATACGTGTTTATCTCATTTATTACTCTGCCTCGTATTTACTTACCTCTTTACTATACCTGATGTTATTGGACCACTAGTGAGTGTCGATATCGACTCCTCGTCACTACTCCTCCGGGGTTAGGCTAGATACTTATTGGGTACACATTGATTTCGTACCCATACTTCACTTGCTGCACATTTTTGTGCAGATACATATGTGACTAATGGCCTTGTGAGAGCAGAGGCGTGTATACATGCGGGGACTTACGTGAGCTGCATTCCATATTACGACCCGCAGCCGGCAGAGTCTCCTTCAGAGTATTTATATTTCTCCTGTCTAAATTTGTATTCCGGACAGATGCTGTATTTTATTTTACATTCCTAGTTGATGCTCATGTACTTGTGACACCGGGTTTTGGGGTGATTATGAGTTGTTCTGTATTGAAATTGTTAAGAATATTATTATTTACACTGTGAATTTCATCTTTTACTATTTAATCGAAGGAAATATGATTTCAAAAATATTAAAATGAGAACCAAATCAAGTATTTATTTTTGGCTTGCCTGACGGCAGTGTCCAGCGCCATCACGACCTTTAATGAATTTTTAATCGTGACAACAAGATTATTTTTATAAACCGACATTATATTCATGTTTTTATAATAACATAGATAGATTAAGGCTACCTTAAACAGTTTAGAGGTTTTTCAGTACCCAACAGTTTGTATTATAAGGCGTGATCCCTCAAGTTGGTACAATATACGTTACATAAGCAGACAAATTATCAAAAGAACGGATGCTAAGTTATATCATATAATATTGAACTTAATTATAGGATTATCTAATTTGACTAAACTCTTGATAGATTGTGGTCCAAAGTATTCATTATTTAGCTCTCAGAAATAATAATAGAGCTTAGCCGACCACTGTATTATTTAATATTTCTTGTACAAAAAAGAAGAATTAGATGCTGATCTATTAGTTGAATATATATTTCTCCTGCCAACTACATTGCATCATTCCACGTTTATAAAAGCTCAAAGCTAAAAGATTGGAACAACCGACCAAAGCATTAGATAAGTGAAAATTAAGATTATATTTACTATTATTAATTAGTGTAAAATATTTTATACTTGATTGAATATTTCTCCTGCGCCCAATCACGTACATTACTTCCATGCTGATAAAGCTCAAAACTAAAATATGGAAACAGCCGACCAAATTAAATTGCATTAGACAAGTGGAAAGATCCTCAAAGAATTCAGCTGTTATTAGCAACTAAAAACAATCATGTACTGATGAACGTCCAACCATAAAACTTTATAAAAATGTTATTAGAAAGAAAGATTTGAATATAAATCAAAGGCATTTTAAGGATACTGCACTATATACACTCAAAACAGCCAACCTTGTGCTATGTTGAAGACCAAGAAGATCAGTGAAAGGCAAAAGCATGCAACTTATAGGCCAAGCTTCTAAAATCACCTTATATTTTTTAGAAAAAATATTTTCGGTAGAAACAATTTGAATTTAGCTAATTATTTTAAAAATACTTTTGAGAAGTAATTAGTATTTGACAAAACTTTTAAAAAGTGATTTTATGTGTATTTTTCTCAAATGTGTTTTCGAAGAGAAACTACTTTTTTCTGCTTCTAAAAAACTATTTCTGCTTCAACTCAAAACATTTTTTCCCTTCTAAAAGCTTAGGCAAACACCTTACTTTAGGGGGGAAAAAATATTTTGGCAAAAAAAAAAAATACTTTTGGCAAAAAAAAATGCTTTACCAAACATGCTATTAGTCCTTTTGGTAGGAAATTGTAGGAAATATATCTAAAAATTGTATAAAGTTCAAAGGAAAAAAATGTAGAAAGATCCATTTAACTATTAAACATACTAATATATGCTTATACAGAATAATATCCTGTCATCAAATTTTTAATTATAAAACAACCTAACATATCAAGTCAAAAGTCTAATATTTGAAAAATGCTCTGGGGCGACGACATATAGTTTGGACAACCCAAGGAGTAAAATGTGCATGAGATATTCTTGTCATCCCTTGATAGCAACTTTGAATCACTAATTGTAGAAATGTGGGATTTATATCCTTTTAATCAGAGGTCATGACTTTACGTCATGAAATAAAAAAAAATCTACACTTTAGAATTTTATTTCTTTCGATGGATTATTCTAATGTGAATCCAAATTAATTAAGCCAGTACCTTTATTACTGTAATTGTTTTATCTTCAATGATGATGATTGATGATTTCTGAGTGATGAGTTATGAGTTTTTTTTTTAAAATCCCTCGCCTCTTTGATTTCCTTTTATTGGTTTGGTGACTCGAACCCAAGACTCTGGGATTGTAGGTGAAGCGTTGACCATCTGAGCAATCCCGGTTGTCTGATGAGTTATGATTCAATTCCCATCTCTTTCATTTCCACTCTATGGTCTGCCTCATAAGGTAGCCCAAAGTCCTTCCAATCATATACACCAATATTCAATGGAACAGTATAACGTTTGGGAAAAGAAAGAAAACAACCTTAAATATCAAACTTTACAAACTCTCAACAACAGAAATTGAAAAAAGAAGATCTAAGTAATTAGTACTAATATCAAGACTGCGTATAGCTAGTTGGCTTGTAATTTCTTGTGGACACGTACAACTATATTATAGTTAAAGATTATGTTCTTAGAACATGAATCACAAGCAGATGTGGAGCTAGCCTTGTGCTGGTTCGATCGAACATAGTCACTTTTGCTGTATTTGTAATTGGCTATGCTTCCGATCACAAGCATCTATATAGCCATAAGGATATAGAACTGCTTTAATTATCTAGCTCCTCCCAGATTTCTGGACTTGGATATTCATTCAAATCGGGCTTCATTGATAACCACTTGGATTTTGAATTGGAAATGAAATTATTGGACTCTGTAGAATTGGTTGTAGTTTGCATATTAGCATCCACTTTGGCACCAACTTCAGTAGCTTTTTTGCGAATATCAGAAGAAGAGAGGTTATTGTGAAGTTCATGATTTTCATTAACAATGAATTGTGGGAAGTTGAGTTTAGCAGAAGGGCCTCTCAAGTAAAAAACAGCAGTGTCATAGGCACGAGCAGCTGCAACTGGAGAAGAGTAAGAACCTAGCCAAATTCTTGACCTTTTATTTGGTTCTCTTATTTCAGCCACCCACTTTCCCCATTTCCTCTTACGAATTCCTCTATATGGCTTCTCTTGTTGGCTATTTTGCCTTTTGTTTTTCTTCTCTGTTCTTGAACAACATGACCCTCCTTCCATCTTCCAACAAAGAAGAACAAGAAAAAAGAAAAGACGAAAAAAAAATAGAAAACAGAATAGGACTAGCGAGAATTTAAAGAAAGATGAACAAAGCTATGATGTTAATTATATGGAGGTGGTGGGAATGTATAGAGACACCGAAGCAGCTGTGCTTATATACAGCGGTCTCAATTCCTACATACTTTTTTTTTTAATTGTATTAAAATAAAATTAAAATATTGAATCACATTAAAAATACACAAACCATGATTTTGTTGATTAATATTATTTACTCCATCTGTTTCAATTGAGATAAGTTAGTTTGATTTGACACAACATTAAAAAAAATAGACTTTTGAAATTTGTGGTCTTAAAAACTTAAGGGGTAAAGCTTTGTGAGGCCGACATTTATGTGGTTATAAAAGTTTCTCATTAAGGGCAAAAAATAAATAAAATGAAGAGTTTAAAGTTGAATTATTTTCAATTATAGTAATGTCATTTTTTTTGGAATGAACTAATAAGTAAATTGTGTCATATAAATTGAAATACAGAGAGTAAAAAAATATGAACAAATCGAAGTAAAAGAAAAACTAGTTAGCTTCTTAAATATAATAGTACTACTATGATACAGTAATATGGAATAAAAAAAGAATACGCATGTATACACAGTAACAAGGACCACCAATTGAGGAGAATAGGACCAGAGAAAATTTTAAAAAAGATGAATACAACTATAATATTTGTTATTATCCATTGTTTCTTTCGTTCTAGTTTCCTTATTAACTTATTTTACTGTTATCATTGTTTGTTTTTACTGCTTTCTTTATTTGTGTTTTGAATCGAGGATATATCGGAGATAATTTTTTTATTTTTATAAGTAAAATTTGTGCGTATACTATTCTCCCTAAATATCAGTTATGAAATTATACTAAATTTATTATTATTATTATGACGGAAAAATCCTTTCCCTAAACCAAATGTTACGTTCTATATTGTTGTCGCGTGTTCTATGTTTTCGAAACACAACTAAAGTAGAAGTGTGTGGGGAATAAGATCTACCGTGCATTTGTCTAAACTGGTAGTAATGATCAAGATGACGAGGACTAGTTTGTTGCCAAGTGGAGGGGGCATATAAGTGGGACGATTAATTAATAATTAAATCGTAAACATCTTATGTTATTTGACTTATATGGAAATGAAAAAAAATTAGCTGGTCGGTGACTCGGTGGTGCATGAATCAGCTACTTGGGTAATTGACTTGTGGTCCAAATTAAACAAGAGGGGAGATGACTGATTCATCAATCACTTCCTTTGTTTTTGTTTTGAGTTTTAATTTCCACTTTCTTTCTTCTCGTTGTAATTATATTGACATCTCATTTAGGATTATAAAGCCAATTACGCTATTTCTATCGACGTCAGTGGTGACATTCTCGCTAATTCAAATTCGCGTTACATTTAATCAGTTAACGTGAAAAAACTCTCTACAAGTATTCTTTTCATTTTTAAGGCTCGAATTCGAATCATCTGATTAAGGGGAGATGAATCTTATCCTGTTAAAAAGATATAAATTGAGGTGAACTACGCAAGCTAGATACGTGGATTTGGGACAGAGGACTCGTAATACTCCTTTGATTGATATAATCTTTTCTTATTCTAATCACGATAATCTCTCATCCCCTTCTTTCAATTGGCCCTTTCTTTTTTCTTGATTAAATAATTGAGAAAGGAAAATAATTAATCGTTACTCAGTTGCCAGTTCCATATTCATTCAATAACCTTCTGTTAGGCACCAATTTCTTAAATTAGCTAACGGATCTAATCTATTTATTGGACTAATTAAAGTTTGATGAAAAACTGACTTCACAAAAGGTATAACTCTCAACGCTCTGGTAGCTCCACTTAATTCACTCTTCTTTGTTAATGGTTAAGTCAGCATTCAAAAGTGAGTAATAATAAGCCACTGCTTATAAATTCAAACAAGTGCCTAAAATTTGGGGTTTCCAGAGGACCAGGTTGGCAGAGATGTCATAGTTAAGTACTCCTGCCAAGTACTCCCGCCGTTTACTTTTAGTTGTCAAGTATTCTAAAAATAAATTTTTATTTTTACCAGTCACTTTTCGTATATTAAAAGAAAAAAGAATTTATTTTTTCTATTTTACCCTTAGCATTAATTACTCATTCCAAATCATTTTGCCAAATCCATTAATACTATACACCAATTAATATGAGTATCAAGGTAAATTATACATTTCATTTATTATTTATTAAAGGCGTGCAAAATCAATAGTGGACAAGTAAAAGTGAACGGAGGGAATACAATTTTAAGACCTGTAACTAGAGATGTACATATATCGGGTTGGTTTGAATTTTTTAATTACCAAACTAAACCAATGGTGTCGGCTTTTTTAATCTATAAATTAAATCAAACCAACAAAGTCGAATTTTTCAATCTCGATTTTTTTCGAGTTTTTCGAGTTTTTTCGGGGTTTAAGATTTTTTTCCGGTAAAATCTATATAGCACAAAATATGTAACTTATGCTCCAAATATTTCTTTAGTCCTAGTAGGATACAACTATATAATATATTTTTCAAGAAAATAACACAATAATATAAGACGAGTCATGTCATTGCACTAAAATATTCAATAACGAAGATAATAAAATCGTATAAAATAAATATTGCTAATTAATAAGCCATAATAAAAATGACCGTAATCTAAAAGTACTATATAAGTCATGCTAAAATAAGTACATCTAATAAGTACTATTAATTACATGATTAAGCACTAAAAAAATAATCTAAGTTATGCATTTCCATTATAAACCATTGGTAACTAAAAATAGATATCCAATACTATTGTCATTTCTAGTATTGAATTGAATTTATTTTGTTAGCATTTGTATTGATTTGAACTTTATTTGAGTTACTGCATATATGAGCTATAAAACTTATTGGACCATTCAAGAATGTTAAGTCCAAGCTTGAAATAATACATTCAAAGATAAAACTCTGTAGAAGTTTAAGAATATTTATAAACTACATTATACATTAATGTAATGACCCCATCGGTCGTTTCGCTTTCTAGATCCCCGTTTTCCTAAATAAGACTCTAAGTATGTGATTTTACTATTTTATGACTTGCGGGGATGGTTAGCTCGGAATTTGGAAGGGTTCAGGTTGAAATCGGAACACTTGGTTCCCTAAGGTTGGCTAAAAGGGGGCTAAGATTGACTTGAGTTAACGTTTTGAGTAAACGACTTCAGAACCAGGATTTGATGGTTCCAATAGGTTCATACAATGATTTTGGACTTGGGCGTATGTTCGGATCGGTTTTTGGATGACCCGGGAGAGTTTCGGCGCTTAATATAGATAGTTGGCACCTTGAAAGTTTTAAAATTCTTTAAAGTTGGCTTGGAGTAGGTTTTAGTGTTATCGAGGCTCGTTTGGGATTCTGAGCCTCGGAGTAGTTCCGTATGGTGATTTGAGACATGCACGCAAAATTTGGTGTCATTCTGAGTAGTTTAGGTATGATTCGACGCGTTCGGAGCAAGTTGGAAGAACTTTAAGTTCATAAGTTGAATTGATTTGGTTTGGGGTGTGATTCTTAGTTTTGGTGTTGTTTTTCGCGTTTCGAGGGTTCGAGCAAGTTCGTCTCATGTTTACGTACTTGTTGGTATATTTGGGCCAGGCCTCAGGGGCCATAGGTGCCATCCGGGCAATGCACAGATTGAACTTGGACTCAAAAGGGTTGCTGGTGCACCAGATCTAGTGTGCCCGCACCTGCTAGCTTTTGGCCGCAGGTGCGAAATGCGTGCATTTGGCCGCAGAAGCGACCTCTAAACAATTGTCCAATGGTCCGCAGAAGCGAAGAAGTGTGCGCAGAACTGGCCTCGCTTCTGCGATGAAGAGCCGCATGTGCACGAAGACCGCAGATGTGCTTTGCGTCCGCAGAAGCGGTATCCCGTTCGCAGAAGAGGCCAGCACTGGGCCTGAGGAATTCCGCAGAAACTGGCCTAGTTCCGCAGAAGCGGTACCGCAGGTGCAGCCCGGGGACCGCATATGCGATAATTCTGCTGGGCAGAACCTTCATTTAAGTCGGGACTCAACTATTTTAAGTTCATTTATTGCATTCTTTGGACGAGTCTTGGAGCTCTTAGAGAGGGGCTTTCACTAGCGATTTGGAGGTAAGTAAATTCTATCCAATGTGAGTTAAATGCATAGATTTTGGGTAGATTTTAACATGTAAATTTGTGAATTTGTGGGTTTAAATTAAAAATCTAAGTTTTGATAAAAATGGAATTTAACCACGAAAATGGATGGAATGAAGTGAAAATTATATATTTGAGTTCGGGAGGTTATGGGTAATAACTTTCTTCAAAAAATTTTGGAATTCAGGCGCGTGGGACCAGGGGTAAATTTTAGGAATCCTTCAATTGGGGTGGGTAATCACTCTGATAGTTAGAATATGAACTTTTGAACGTGTATTGATTAATTTATATAACATTTGACTAGTTTTGGATTGTTTGGCACCGAGTTGATGCTTTAGAGCAAAATTGTGATCGGAAAGTGAGCCTTGAGATGATGTAAGTCTCTTGTCTAACCTTGTAAGAGGAAATTTGCCCCATAGGTTATTTAAATTAATGTTTGCTTCTAATTGTGGGGAGGCTACGTATGCACGAGGTGACGAGAGTCCATGCGTATACTATTTATACTTATGTCCGGGTAGTTTAGGACCCAAATCATAAATTATTTGTAATACTTTCACCCTGCTTGTTAATTTAAGTACCTAAATTATATTAGAACTTGTTAGAGGAATTGTAAAAGACCGAATTACACTTACTTAAATTTTTAGCTAATTACTTGGCCGTTAATAGAAATTTCATTACATTGTGTGTTAGCCTTGTTATAATGTTTAAGTCAAATGCTTATAAAGTATCCTCTCTTCATGTGGAGCGAGCCGAACGCCTCGGCAATAGATAGATGCATTTATGGATCATGCCGTACGTCCCTCGACAATGTACATGTTATTGTGGATCGGGCCGTACGACCTCGGCATAAATCGTGCTTAATAATACTCGGAGCCTAATCATACTTGATATTATTTTGTGGCTTATGGGGTTACACTTATTAATGACGAGAATTTATTTGAAAATTATTAATTTGTGAAAGAATTATTTGCCCATGTTTGTTAATGTGTTAATATTGTCATTTACATAACTCCTGTTTATTTATAATTTCTGTATTCATATTGTTAGCCCATAGTAAGTGTCGAAGTCAACCCCTCGTCATTACTTCTTCGAGGTTAGATTAGATACTTACTGGGTACATGTTGTTTATGTACTCACGCTACACTTCTGCACTAATCGTGCAGGATATGAGGCAGGTGCATCTGGCGGTCCTATCGGCGCGCATCCCAAATATCCGGAGGCCTAATGGTGAGCTGCTTTCTGAGTCGTTCCGCAACACCTAGAGTCTCTCATTTACATTTATTTCTGACTATTTTCATTTCAGACAATAGCTAGAGTTTTGTATAATTTATTAGTGGTCATACACTTGTGACACCAGGTCTTGGGGCACACACTAGCAGACATAGGTTTTGGATTATTTTATTGTTATGATTGCACTCAGCTACTTTCGTGTATTTATTTACAAATTTGTTGTTTCTTAACCTTTTAATTAATAGAATTTAATTACTTGAAAGCTCATTAAAAGAGAAATAACAAGGATCAAGTCATTATTGACTTGCCTAGCGGTAACGTTGGGTGTCATCATGGCCCATAGTAAAAATTGGATCGTGACATTACAATAAATATTTAGAGAAACTTTCATAAGTATCACATTTTTAAATAATATATACAGATTCCTAGCACCATTAAGCATATATCAAATGAGGCCGCGTATTATTTACATTAGTAGAAACCTAAAAGAAGTTGGTAACCCTTTAATGTCCGAGAATGTTGCAATTTCATCCCAGAAATATCTCCATAAAATTTGGACTTCAATTTTATCTCCTTAAATTTCTTGCCATCATCTTCTAAACACATTCATTGCTCACACATCATTCTCCTCCCGCCCATAAATCACGTTTAATTTTTCTTATATTTTTTTTCCAAATCAGCCTCTTAATAAATTGTATAGTATATATTAAGTGTATTGTACATATATATATATCCGTCTATTATATATTCATATATACACCCATATCTTCCATTTTCACACCCAAACTCGACACTCAAGTATTATACCTAGCCAAGTAACTGTTAATCAAATTGCAGATAAAGTACATAATATTTTTTATACCTAAAAATACATGGTATATTTTGTTTATTTAATTGTGTTTAGGTATAAAAAATGTGTACTTTGTCTTAAAAATACATGACTTTATTTAGGTATAAAAGTATTATGTATTTTGTCTTAAAATACGTGGTATATTCTATTTTTTTAACTGTTCCTAGTATAATAATGGTATGCTAATATTTTATATTTATTTTTGATGTAATGTATTTGGTATAATATTGGTATAATCGTATTCGCAAGCAAAATACTTTGAATAATATTGTTATAGTAATGGAATGTTGATTGATTTAGATAGTGTATGGGAGAATAATGAAGAATGGACTTTCCCTGAGAACACCTATTCGAAGCAAAAATTCAAAGAAAATGACAAGTTTAGATTAACGATGAGAGAGAATGTTGTGATAAATTAATGTGTTTCAATAGTTTCTTAAATTGTGGTTAGTGTTTACATTTAAAAAATTAAATGCCACATAAAGAATTCTTAAAAATGCTATAATTGTAAATGAATGTGCTCTTTTTAAAATAAAGCAAAAGTAATGTTATTTATATAAATATTTTTTAAAAAGAGACTAACAATGTTAAAATCTCAAATATAATATTTATATGTATAAAATATTTTTAAAAATTGTATAAATATAATGTCGAGCTGGTTTGGTTCCGGTTTGACTTTTTTTAGTTAAAACTAACCCAAACCAATTATAGTCGGATTTTTTTTTCTAATACCAAACCAAATCAAACTAAATCACATCGGAATTTTTTCCGCTTTGACTCGAATTATCGGTTTGATACGGTTTATCAGTTTTCTTTGTACACCTTCACGTATAACATATATGGAAAAGAGGTTAGCCACATGCAACGTTAGTGCTACTGCCAATGAAACAAGGATGTTTTTTGTCGGCTATGTTGTTCAAATCATCTAATAAGATTGCCTTATTTGTGTTGGATCCTCCAATAATACAAAATGTTTGGAGGATCCGATATGCCAACAAGACAGTACTTCGGTCGGCAGAATCCACCTATTGCTGCTGCTGCCGATTATTGCAGTCCTGTGACCTAGTACAATAGGCCAAATGGAGTTTTAGTATTCTTTTTAAAGGTTAGTAAGCGAGTAAATAATACTCCTATGTGATTGAAGGGTCCATATAGGTCAAAACCGTCTAAAAATTGGCACTTTTGAGTTAAAGCAGTTAAACTGTTGGACTCTATCTCAACAGTTAAAGCAGGCCAAAGTCTTCTTGTTACGACATATTCTCCAGTCAAACAATCAACAACAGACAGCGGTGACTTCAATGAAACTAAATCAACATTTTTAAAACCCAATAAACTATATAAGTTTACGTATACCATTCCTCCATCTTCAAAGCCCTCTAAACCAGTGACTACTAGTCAGCCATGGCGCAAGAAAATGGTGAACTCCATGTAGTTTTCATTCCATACTTGACACCAAGTCATATGATCCCTTTAGTTGATACAGCTAGACTTTTTGCTAGCCATGGTGTCAAAGTTAGTATTATCACCACCCCCTACAACGCCCTCCTTTTCGAGTCCTCTATCGATTATGTCATCGATTTAGGCCACAAAATCTTTGTCCACAAACTCAAGTTCCCATCAGCTGAAGTAGGCATACCCGAAGGGATTGAGAACTTCAGTGCAGCCACTACCACAGAAATGGCTACGGGTGTATTTATGGGTATTGCTTTGCTGCAAAAACCCATGGAAGATCTTATCTTTGAGCTTCGTCCTCATTGCATTGTTTCAGACCTGTTCTTTCCATGGACTGTGGATGTAGCTGAGCAACTGAAGATACCTAGACTAATGTTTTATCCGACAAATGTTATGTTCCATTGTGTGGAACATTGTTTGAAGTTGTATACCCCTCATGAGAAGGTAAGTTCAGATTTGGAAAGTTTCTTGGTTCCGGGTTTACCAGATAAGATCGATATGAAAAGATCTCAACTACCAGATGATGTGAAAACCAAACCTGAAGGCCCATACTGGGATTTGATGAAGAGAATTAAAGAATCAGAACCTCGGAGCTATGCCATGATTCATGACACTATCTATGATCTAGAGCCTAGTTATGCTGAGCTTTATCAGAAAATCAAAGGTAAGAAACCATGGCTTATTGGTCCTTTGTTTCATTTTTCAAAGAGAGAAGAGGCAATTAGCAAATCAAGAAACACTGCAGTTCAAAAGCGACACAGCAGCCTAAGTTGGCTTGATTCTCAAAAACAAAACTCAGTTGTGTACATTTGTTTTGGAAGTATGGGGAGGTTTTCTGATGCTCAGCTCACTGAAATTGCCCTGGCTCTTGAGGCCTCAGATTCGTCGTTTCTTTGGGTGGTGAGAAAGGGAGACAACACCCAAGAAAATGAGCAAGAAAGCTGGCTGCCAATTGGCTTTGAACAAAAGATGCTTACAAACAACAAAGGTTTGATAGTCAGAGGTTGGGTTCCACAGCTGAAGATTTTGAACCATCCAGCAACTGGAGCGTTCATGACTCACTGTGGCTGGAATTCCACTTTGGAATCTCTCACAGCCGGAGTGCCAATGCTTACATGGCCCTTGTTTGCGGAGCAGTTTTACAATGAGAAGCTGGTGGAGCTTCTTGGATGTGGGGTTGGGGTTGGGGCAGAGGTGTGGCACTTTACCTTTGACATAAAGGATACAATTGTCAACAAGGAAAAGATAGAGGAGAGCATGAAAATGTTAATGAGCACCTCCATGGAAAGTGAAAAGATCAGAAGTAGAGCAAAAAACATTGAAGCAATGGTTAAGAGGGCTGTAGAAGAAGGCGGCTCATCTTATAATCATCTAACAGCAGTAATACATGAGCTCAAGTGTCATGCTTTTGGCACATTGGGAAAGTAATCCAAAGTTCAATGTTCTGACCTCTCCTAAATTTTTCCAAAATATGCATCAAGGATGCTGACCTCGCTTGTATCACAAGACAGAATACAAGGAAAACGAAATAGCATGTTATGTTTCAAGCAATATTTTATAGATGACAAAATCTCAAGTGTTACGCAATACTTCCCCATGTCACGAATATAGCTATTAACAAAAGTGAGTTGCATTTAAATAGGGGATATAGTTGCAGTTCGCTCTAAGCCTTTAACCTTTCAAGATCACTATTGTTTTCCATTTTTGAGACAGCAGGGTACGTGATAAAACTGGAAAGAAAACTCAGCTACCTGAGAGAGAAGTTTATCATCTTTTGGCCGTTGGTCCTATATAAACAAATAGCGACCAGTAGATTGCTTTTTGCTTACACACAATCAGCAACTGACAGTTAGTCAGAACAGAAAAACAGAGCCTTTGTCGAAGGAATTGCAAGTAAAACCAGAAACTATAGACCAACCATGCTGTCAAAATTACAGATTGCATGCATGTTGCATACTGACTATATTCATTGTTGAATCATAAAGAAGAAAAACACCATTTTAGCCACATGGCCACTATGTCCATAAGGACTAGCAATGTCACATAATTATATAGTTCAAAACAACTAATGTCAGATAAGAGCTGGATACTGCTTGGCTTGCTGCCTCACTCGTCTCTTATACTCAGCAGTATCCTGCAAAAGCAAGGTCACATATTGTAATGGCAAGCTAAATAGGGATTTATATGGTTCACTCCAATATCGCATTTACAATGCACCATATTCTCTGAATGGAAACTGACAGTTAATTTTCTTCTTCATAATTTCAATAAAATTTGGAAGCAATTAATTGCAGGGGCGGATGTAGCATATACTCTGCGGGTTCAACTGAACCCATAACTTTCGACACGGAGTAAAAATTTATATGTAAAAAATCATTAAAATTAGAAAAATAGTAGAGATGAACCCATAACTTTAAAAATATAATAGGTTCAATGCTAAAAATTTTAAAAGTTGAACCCATAGAATTTAAATCCTGGATCCGCTTCTGATTAATTGTCATTTGGAATCCCTTCTACAATCCAACAGTATCTCAAACATTTTTTTTATGGATTTCAAACACTCTAAAAATTAATTTTTATCTAGGCATCTATGTACATAATTCGGAATTGAAAGCTATTATGGTAAAAGGTAGGTTTCAATAATCAAAATGTCGACTTAATTTAATTTTTTTCTTAATAAAAGGTCAATGAAATACACGTCAAGCTTGAGTAGACTACCTGCATGTACAGCTGATAACCATCAGTCTGTGCTGGATCATTAGGATTTGGCTGGTCAAGCAAATCTTGGATACCCACCAAAATTTGTTTAACTGTAATGGCAGGCCTCCACCCCTGAAGAAGGTTATAGCCAACACAAGAATCAAATGGAAGCTGTTATACCAAACAAGACTGACAAAGTAACACAACAGCAATGACAAGAACTTACACTGTCCTCATTGAGAATAGACAGGCATACTGTTCCTGATGGATAGATATTAGGATGAAAGAAACCTTGAGGGAACTTGCACTTGGGTGGTTTGCTAGGGTAGTCTTCACTGAAGTGCATTGTTATTGGATAGAAGCCGCCCTCCCAGTCAGTCTGTGCCAGTTACAACATTGCATGTCATTATTGCTCAGGCTTGTAAATTGTGTTCGGCGGTAAACCTAAATGGCCTAACTATGACTAAAACCACAAACTTCCCTTATTTTTAATAAGAATAAACCTCCCAAAAGCTTCTAGAACTTGAAAGTTGTAGCAGATAAGAGCATCTTCCGGAACTCAAGATGTGTGTGAGAGAGAGAGATTCACATATGCAATGTGCAAAAGATTGCCGCATGATTGTTAACTGCAAGTCACTAACCGAACTAAGACCAAGCATTTTCTCTTTGTGATCAAGTAACGAATATACATATGGCGGCGTTAACTAAAAGCAAGCATTTCAACACAGCATCCTCTCACTTTTATGCAATTAATATATACTAAAGCTATTAGTACAAACCTTATTGGTACTGGGAAAATGGTCTTCTGCATTCTTGCAAAGTTCATGTTCTTCTTACGTTTTATGCTATAATCCAGGGAAAATGCACAGACTTACCTTACCAGGCTGTGTGAATAACTATCTCACTTTGTTTAGCACAATGTAAAAACTTCTTCGCTGCCCTCTCAATACCAAAATGCAAATGCTATTCCAAGGACTTAAGTGGCTCCCAAAAAGTAATTGTAAATTTATTTCAGGTCTACAGTTGGCAACGCCATTCATACAATCACTAACTACAACCTTTATGAATAATTCAGTAAGATGAATTTTATGACCGCCATCAAAGGCTCTTATAGACTTTAGATAATCCAAGAGTGACCTATTTGTTGCCTAATTTGTAGATGCACCATTAGACTACATAATGTTTCAGTTAAGGGATCAAGATTTTCTTCATTTCAAACATCATGAAGTCTAATTTCTCACTCATTCATACTCCCAAAGAGTCCGTTCAGGTTCATATTGTTATTTTTTAATGAGTGGCACTTTATAATTCACCCCCCTAAGGTTATTTGTTTTCCAATGCAATATTTATTTCCTTTTTTTTTTTCATAGAAAATCTAACATCTTCAACCATGGGAAAAAGGATATTTTCCTGGATTATGGATTAGGATACATAAAAGGCATTTGCAAGTTGCTCCAAGTAGTTGTTATGATCAAGCTGAAACCTTATATTTTTAAAATCTTATAAAAGGAACTGTAATTTTATTGATCATCAATAGATTGGAGTTTTATTTTTTCTTTCCAGAGAGAATACTTTCCACTTGTGGACGAAATTAAGCTTAATCCAAAATCATGAAAAGAAAGTGTATGCTACAACTATTTTCATCCAACCAAACGCAACGTAGATCTCTCAAATCTACTTCCTAGTTCCCACCCCCATTACCAAATTCTCTTCACTTCTATTTAATTCTTTGCTTTAATGGTCTATTCAGTGAAGTAAATCAAAAGAAAACTAAGTCACAACCAATATAATTGAACACTTCCCATAATGGCTGTGAAAAATATCCAAACTGATGTACTGATTAAACTCCGCAATCTTTTCTTCATATTAATGTGGAATCAATTAACATCCTCATAACGTACAAAAAAGGATTAATTATAGTGCAAAACCACTAATTTTTAGATACAAAAGCAAGCGAGCAACGAAAAAAAAGGCTTCTGTAGAAACTAGACAGATTCCAGTCTAAACAATCCCAATCATGGAAGAGGAGAGGATGATCTTTGGCACAATGGTAGTGCTGTTGATGACTTGTAGATCACATGTTTGATGCAAGGTGTGGAAACCTATTTCTTAAATGCAAGAGAAAGGCTAGGCACAACAAACACTCCGTCTCCACCCGAAGAAAACTTATCCACCACCCAGTGTTTGGACGAAACCAATCACGATTAACTAATATGTATACCACATCTCAATTCTCAATGTATCACGAGAAGCGGAGCCAAAATTTTCACTAAAGGGAGTCAAAATTTAAAAAAATAAATACACAGAAGAAGCCAAGGGATTCAATATATACATAGCAAATAGTTTTTACCTATCTAAACAGTGTGTATGTGGCTCCGCCAATGTGTATCACTTAATCGTGATAAATTAATGTGTTTCATGCAAACACCGGGAGTTTTATGGACAAGGAATGGGGATTTTACAAGAAACAAATTTTAAAAAAAAATCATCAGAATATTCTAGCTTTCCATTTTTAATACTACTAAAACATCTCCAGAAAAATTACAAAAAAAAGAGGAGAAAATTCGCGAAGAAAGAAAGAAAATTTACTAACCCCGGTTTTACCAGGGATAGAACAATGCCACACCATCAAATTGACAGACCCATCTGGACCTGTTTCCGGCTTAGCCACAAAACCCTAAAAAAGAAAAGAAGAGACTCATCAAATTAACAGAACCTTAGAACCCATTACTGTTTATCAATAAACCTACAAAAATTAGTAATTAAAAAAAAATTGAAAGGAAGAGAGTATAAATAAAGAGTAGAAAAGGACGTACATGTGGGTGATTCTTACGCCATGCTTTGCGTTCCTCAGCAAGACGACCACGCGCGATTCCGCCTGACATGTTTGTTTGCCCCCTTTTCCCCTCTCTCTCTCTCTATATATCTGTAGAAATGTTAGAATGATGAAATCAAGAACTGCGCAGGAGAAAAAGGGAAAATGAAAGGGTTTTTCTACTCTGTGTAAATTCAAAGTGATTTACATAACGTAATGTAATCCGAGTTGGATTTAATAAATGAATTGCTTATTCCACTACTTCAAATAGTAGGTATCAACTTGACCTTATTGGGTACTAGTGCATTTCGCCGATTTATTTTTTGCCTTCAAATTTTTTAATTAGAATAGAAAGTACTTTCACTTTCTATAAATGTGTTTGCAACTTTGCATATAGATAGATCTTTATGTATTTTAATGTGAAACTATCACTTTCTTGAAATTCAATAAAGTTATTTTTGAGCACATTTTTAAAAAGTACTCTTTAAATATTTGTACATTCAAATTTTTTTAGATAGTTATTAGTATTTTTTAAATAAAGCATGAAGTAGTAAAAGAGAAAGGATAAATAAAGTAATTAAAACCTACCATATATGAAACAAAGTAAATGAAATACTCTTCTGAAATTAGGCTCTGATTCGGCGGAATATTTCCTTTCCTTTCTTTTTCTTATAATTTTTCTATTTCTCTTTCCTTTTCCATTTGTTTTGTTTTCATTTTCCTTTTCCTCCCCTAATCTCCTCCTAATTTTATGCAAAATTCCCAAAAATCAGTTTGTGCTTCAACGGAAAAAGAAAAAAAGAAAAAAAAAGAAGAAAGGAGAGATAGCAAGACAAAATTTACATTCACACTAGGGTCAATTAATTTTATGGCTCTTTACAAACTTGTTTTTAGTTTTATGATCCTACCTTTTTTATTATACATGTGAGATTTGCTTTTACACGTAAGAAATATGTCTTTTATACATAAGAGATCTAAAAAGATTATTTTCTTAATTTTAAAATT